TAGTGGGTTTCCCTTTCACACACCTAACCCTTTGAAAATAACCCATTAAACTAAATATCGGATCTCTTCCATCGTATAAAATATTACTATTTTGAGATTCCACTTTGCTGATATTTGGTTAAGGTGGCCTCTCACAAATCTGGGTGCCCAATGGTTTAGTACACCATCTCTTTGTGAGTAATTAAAGGCTCTGTTTCGGTTCAACATCCCATTTAAACAAGGGTGGGGCTTCCAATTGTTAATAGTAAAGGATATTGGGAATTAGAGTCAGTATCATCAACTCTCTGCTGTAATAAGTGCTTCTCTTAATTAGTTTATTGTCTCAGATCTTCAATTTATGGCTTTCGGAACTGTCTTAAATGTATCAAGGTCACAATTATAAAAATATGCTCCAGATTTGGAGTTCCTGGCTCCCTGTGATGGTGCCACCCTCAACTGAATCCCTTCATATAGGTAACTAATTAATAAACTCTTGTACCTATGTGACTTTTAACTCTTGTCTGGCGAAACGATATAGATGGAGGAACAGGAACAAGCTGGTCTATCTGGTGAGAATCTTAGACTATTATTGTCATGTACTATATCTCCTTCAATTTTAATTCCCTATGATTGGTAACTACGTGACTAAGTTCGCAGCACCTGGACCCTGTGATGGAATTAATAGAGTTGATGGTTGACAATAATTGAAGTGCCTTTGAAGGCTTTATGACTCAATTATGGATTTAGAATATCTTGTCTTATTTGGTAGTTTAGTAATGTGATGCATACATAATTCATCACGATAGTAAACAGTAGGAAACTGAAGTACACACATATGGATAATAATAATCGAACAGAATTTTCAATTGGGAGCGGTTATGATGATACACTTTTCAAATATTAATTAAACAGAATTCGAAACATATCCTATTCTTCTGATGTAAAAATCACACACAATGACATGTGATCACTTTCATAGGACCATCACAAAAATGCAGATACATGGTTAATCCAAAACTAAAAATTCACTGTAATGATAATCATTTAAAAAATTTATGCGACTTTTTTAAAAAATTTCATAACATATGTAGTTTAATATTAATCATTTATAATAAACCATGATGGTTACTGCGTTTTTTTTTTCACTTTTACTTGAAGAAAACCCTTATATATACAATATTGGTATATTCATGTTTTCCTTGAAAACTGCCATCAATTATAAAGTAGTTAAACAAGTTTATAAGTTAGTCAGAAACACTTTAGACAAACAAACTTATAGGTTAATCAAATAAATTGAAAGTTATAACTAGTTTAAATGTCATGTTAAGCACACTTTGATTATTATTATTATTTTTAGTTAAGTTTATTTTTTTAATATCGATAATTTAAATATAATATAATATAAAATTGTTTTTGTTTTTTGTATAGCCCTTCTTCCACTTGAGCGTTTTAAAATAAAGTAATACATTCTCAATTACAATAATAAGAGTCCTTGAAACTTTTATTTATGTTAGAAACCATATTCTCATAACTAAATAGACAACGAGTTATTTTTATTTGGAAATTTTAATTAATACAAATTTTTTAAAAATTATATATAATTTTAGCCTCTACGTATATGATGATAATATTTGTTTTTGGTCTATAAAAACTAATTTATCTTCTTTTAAACATTCTTTTATCAATAACTAATTATTTCTTGTTGCTCTTGAAACTATACAATTCCTAAAATTCTTTATTTTATTTCTCTTTAAGTTATTAATTAATTCTTCATTAATTATATTTATGCTTATCATTCTTCAATTATGCCCCAATCGATCATCACAGTTTACATGGATGATGGATAAAACAGAACAAAATCTTCTGTCCTATTTTTTCGCATTGTTTTATATCACCTTTTAATTTCACGTTTATTATATTTTCACAACACATAAAAAGAGTACATGCTTTATTTCGTCCTTTTTTAAAACTCTACCACCCACTTTTAGTTGGTGAAAATCAATGAAATTGATCAACTACGTCATGAAGTATAATAAAACTCCACCAAAATATTTTATTTTATTCTAATTAAACACTTCAATTTTCCTTTTGCTTTGATATATAGGACATAATCAATTCTTGTACTACTATGAAATATTTTAACAATAGAACAATGTTTTCATCATATTTTTCTTATATTGATAAAAAGTATCCAAATGTTCAAGAAATAGACTAGAATAATTTTTGGTGGTATCTTTCTTCTCAATCAAGTTTTTTTCTTTCTACAAGAATCTTGAGATTCTTTTAAAAAAAATGTGATTTAAGATTCTTTTGGATAAACTAAGAAATACAATATTTTTTTAAAATTTAAAATATTTACTACATTTTCTATTTTATCACTTTCATTTATGCATCATAATATATATATATATATATAACTTTAAATTAGATAAAAAATTAAAATATACATAATAATAATAAAAGAATAATCAATGTTTTTCTAACTTTGAAAATCACAATTAAATAAAAAAATTCAAAAAAATCTCTCAATTACACATTAACACAAAAAATATTACATAATTTATTATCTCATATATTAACTAATACAAAATTTATAGTTGAAAAAATATATATTTCAATTATCCTTAGAACATCTTCAATACAAGTTGCTACTAAGAGTTGTTTAATAATAAAAGTAAATATTTTATTATAGATTTTATATCTAAATGATTTAAAAATGGAAAAAAATTACTTAAAATTGAAAGAAAATTGTTTAGATAAATAACTCAAAATAAGATACATAATAAAATATTTAATTTTATTCTTAAATAACTTTAGTTAAAATTTTCCTTAATAATTTTTTTTAAATAAGATCTAAGTAAATTTTAAAAATAATAATATAATCAATAACTTAAAATTTTTTTGAAACAGGTAACTATACATCAACAGCTGTCATCCAAACATCAATGACTACAGTCTCAACACGCGTGCAGTCTTCATGCTCACTTCTATAATACCACAGGTGACAAGGAGTATCTTTACAGACAAAATTTTTAATCACAAAGATACTATTTTCATGTGTTTGTGTTTATGTGTTGTGTGAGAGATGAGAAAAGAGTTTATCTTAACCAGCATAATTAATAATTCAAATTTTCTCATCTTCTTATTTCATACGTGTTTTTTTTTTCCTTCATACCATTCTTCTCTCTCTATTTTTAACATGTTTATGTTTAGCTTTAAACTTCAGCTAAGTGCAAATTAAGAACGTCAACCTATTTTTGTAAAATGCTGTGTCTCAACGTGAAAATACCAAAAAACGCGCATAAAATGGGGAAGCAAACACGCAAGATATAATGTGGAATACCTTTAAACTAAATCAAATCGAATAGTATATATATTAAATAAAACATAATATCACCTAATTTGGTTAGAAATCATTAATATTTTTACGTAAATGTTTTTATTTTCCTAATGGGACATTAGTTAAAATTTGAGAAAAAGTAAAGACCGAAATATATATAAATAATCTATTAGTATTGTTGTGGAAGTGAGTGTAAGACAGCAAGTTCAAGATTCCACACATGGTTTTTGTAACTTTAGTTTCTTTTGGCCTTCATTTAATTGGATGCCAAATGAACAAACTGGAGTTCCCGACAACCCTGCAACCCATGACTTTTTTAGTTTACAATGTTTATGGCGTAGGTAGTTAGTTCATCACGAACCCATCCATATCCGCGAACTTTTAGTTTACCTATGCATTGCTTTATGCAGTTTTATTTGTCTTTTCTTATTAATTACCATGTAATGTACCAAGTATTTATTCATTTTATCGATAACTGAATTCTTATCTGTGTATGATGGTATCAGCGACAAGAATATGGAAAAGAAATAGTAAATAAAATTTTAGATTTACAAAAATAAGTATGTGTCTTTAACGTAAGAAAGTTATTTTATTAAATAAACATGGTAATGAAAAAAGGTGTTGACATAGGTATTTATAGGATTGGGTAATCTCTAATATGATTATATTTAACTTAAATAAATTGGATTATATATATAGATATAGATATAGATATTAAGAGGATCATAATAATTTTTTAAATAAAATTTAGAAGAGATTACCATGACCCCTATCAATCCTCGTTCCGCCCTAGATTTTATCCGATTAAGACAATATCTAACCTAATAAGATCCTAAAATTATTAATAATAATATAATTATTATATTAGTTATTTAATTATTCTAAAATATTTAATATTAATTAATATAATATTTTCTAAAAAAAATTCGAAAAACATCTAAAATTAATTGAAGGTACAAAAAGGAAATATTATTCAAAATGTGAATTAAAAGAGACTATGTCTAATTAAAAAAATTCAAATTTTTTTAATTAGATTAGAGGATACAAATTTGATCAAACTCTATCCAATTTAACTCCGGTACATCTTACTCATATATGTATAAAGCATAAGGGGAACACTTATTGTTTATAAGGATTATAAGCACATTAAAATTTCAAAACTTACTCATTTTGTAATTGGGAATGTCTAAATCAGCTTTTGGAGTTGGAAGAGTGTAGTTATCTTTTTGAGTAGATATTGGCCAGGTGTACGATCAGTACAATTCATTTCATAGCAACAAAGTTGACGAGCCATTTGCAACTGCGCCATAAAACATCTGTCTTTCACTATCCGCATGCGCATGCAATGCAAACGTGTGTAGGAATCTTTCTGTTCGGACTTTGTCCTCAAAAATTCATAATTATACAACATGGAACAATGCTATTTCCATTTTCAACAATAAACTCATACAGTTCCATCCACCCTTCACCCTTCTAAGGTGGTGTCAATTCTTTTAACTCTCCTCGTCATCTACAATTTCTACGCCTCTCTATACACTTCACATTACTTGATCTTTTCCACTCCACCAAACGCCGCAAGAATTGCTCAACCTGTGTAAGTGACCATAAAGATAATGTTATATATTTTTCAGATTCACCATTTGCAATAAAGATACATAAGATTGATGCGTGGATTATGTTATTATAAATTGTGGTTGATGGAATATATAGGACTTGCCTCTGATGGATCTTGCAAGGTATAGGAAGCATCAGTTTCTTTTGCAACTCTAGAAACGAGAATCCCAATTCCTTGATCCCTACTGCGTAAAACCTGATAATAATATTATATATCCATCATGTTAACGGATTGATCAGTTAAAAAAAAAACATATGCAGGCGAAAATGAAATATAGAATAGCAATATGCTTTTAACCAACAAACTAGATAGCTAGGTAGCAGCATTTGTTACCTTAAAAGCATCCTCATCAGTTCGATCATCACCAATATAGATTGGAAATACATCATTCGAATTCTCGTATCCTAGAAATATGCAAACAATATTATATTGAATCAGAACAAAGATAAGACTTGTATTGTATTGTATGCATGTGTGTATAGCTAGCTAGCCGAGGTATCAACGCGAGACTATTTTGCATGAACTAGTATGTATACTCACCTAATGATTCTAACAAAAATTCAAGAGCCTTGCCCTTGTCCCATTTGATGGTTGGACGAATCTCTAGCACTTTTCTCCCTTGAGTTAGCCTAAGTTGTGGGTACTCATTGAGCACCAATCTAACTTTCTCCGCCAACGATGCCCAACTCTAGAGAAGAGGAAAAAGGAAAAGAAAAACAGGGGGGTAAAAATGGTTAGAAAAAATTGAGGTTACCCAAATGTCTTTTGGCGTATGCGTGTGGGTTTGGTAATTCTATTGATTCAACAATTATATAGTAAGTTGACCGGTACCTTTTCGTCAACACAACGAAAGTGCACGGACAAGCAAAACTTGTTGTTCTCAACCTTAGCCCCAGGGACAGACTTTGTTTTTTCTACCAAGATCTTGTACACCTGAAATTTTTTTTTTTTTTGTTTATAACGTACCACGCAGTTAAAATCTTATGCGCTGCTACACGTCAATTAGAGGCAAATAGAGGTTTGCATTTAAAAGAAAAAACAAACCTCATCGATCATGGGCAGGAATTGACTTGCAGCTTGGAACAGTATCGCTTTATTATTACCCTGAAACAAAGCAACAGATGACAAAGTTAAACAGAGACAGCAGAAAGTTAGAATTTTCAACGCACTGATAAGTTTCAGAAACTCTCTCACTTGCTTTGGACGTTGGCTTTTTGTTGGCCCCTTAATGTCCATGCCATGGCTTCCGGCATAGTAAAGTTCGGCCAATTTTACAAAGTTATACACCTGAAAAAACAAAATCAGAAAAAAACCATATTTATCGTGTAGAGGAAATAAATATTGTTGATGATGATGATAATAAGTAATCAATCAATTATAACTTATAAGTCATTTTTGTATTTATTTTGCTTTGAAGAAAATGTACCTTGTCTCTGCACCTCCCTGTGACGATAGCTGTGGGAAAATGTCTTGCGATGGCCTTAAGCGTCGCTCTCATCTAATTTGGAAAAACAAAGACGCAAATCAATCAACAACATACGATCTATTGTATGTACACGAATGATTGAGACAAGATGGAACAAAAGGAAAACCTTTTCAGTCATGAAAGCTTTATCCGGATCTGCAACAATAGGGGAGAGAGTTCCATCGTAGTCAAGAAAAACCACAATTTGCTTGCCTTTGGAATTATATGTTATTTGCTCAAAGGTGTTCAGAGCTGAAGGGTGATAAAGCTGCAAACATTTACGAAATAGAAGCAGAGTCAGGTGAGCAGCACAACCACTTATAATCATAAACTACATATCATCATATGTTGTGCTTACAATCCAAGATCTTTTTTCTTGGCTTTCTGATTTGGCACGAGTTGGGGAAGAGGCTCTCATTGAATCAATCCAAGCGCTAACTTTAGCTCCTTCCAACCTTTTCACAAGATTCTTACGGGGCAGGCCCCAAAACCCACTAAGCACAGCCATGGATCCTGGCACTGTTGCACTTGGTAAGAGGGTTGAGTTTGAAATGAACGCTGCCACGGCAATCAACGTGTCAATAACCTCACGAGTCACCACATTTTAGTTGGTCATCATGTCTATCTACCCTTCCCTCTAAAGTTCGAACCCTTTTGATAGCTTAATAGCCAGAAACTTGTGGATAGAGAAGGTGGAAATGCAAAAGGAAAACCGGAAGCAGAATAAAGGAAATAAAGAAAGGAGTGTGGAAAAGCAGAGAAGAGAAGAGAAGGTGATTATGGTACGTGGCTCATTACTCTGCTGAATAAGGGCTTTTATAGAATGAAAAAGTAGCGACGAAGAAAAATCAGAAGGGATTTCACTAGTTGGCTTTGCCTAGCCAAGTCACGAACCAGCCAGGTGTGTCTGGTCAATTTATAAACTTAGGCTTCACGGCACAAACTGACGAAAAAACTACTTCTCTCCCTTGCTTCTTGTACTTCTCAGCAAACATATACTAAATATGCAAAATGGAGGGGCCACCATGATCCCACAGCTACCCTCCTTCTTCTTTTTTTCTTTTTCTGCAAAAAAAAAGAAGAAAAAGTGCACTTAATAATTTGGAACCTTCACTGCAAATATAGTGTAGTTTCGTTATATTTACCACTTATTTGCATTGCATTATTCTATCCAAGTTAAAATGAGAGACCTCTACTCTTTATTGTTTTGTCAGAAAAGATTCTTGGGTGAATATGAGGTTTTCATTGATGTTTTACTTACTCAAGTCAATAATCCAAATAGTTTGTTTGCGTCCGGAATCATCTAACTAAATAACGGAATAGTGGCACCGGAAATTTAAAATTAATTGACTATATGAAAATCAAGGTCAATTGAACGCTGAAACATAAAGGGGTTTTTGCTGTTTCTGCACAGTGCAAAGAAAGACCTTGCAAAATAGGACTCTTGGTTACACTAGCTTGGGAAGTAGGGAAGGACCACACAATTTACCCCACCCTTATAATTTTTAGGGTAATGTTATGTGTATCTATCCTTTATATTTAAATATTTAAATAATATTCATCATTTCTTTTCGTCACATTTTATTATATGTTATACTTAAATTTTTCTATCATTTGAAATATTGATGAATATTTTTATTAATGTTTTTCTCTTCAACTCAATGAACTCAAAGTGGTTTTTTTTTATAAATAAAGTGTAATTTTTTTAAAAATTACAAAAGGGTAAATTTTATAAAAACTACGAAATGAGTAAGTTGTATTTGATAACCCGATTTCATAATAAATAAAGACCTGTTTGATGAGACGAATTTGATATATATATATATATATATATATATATATATATATATATATATATATATATATATATATATATATATATATATATATTTTAAATGGAAATAGTATGATGTAGAACAACTTTTATATATTTAATTTATATAAGAGTAGTACTACGATTTTTTTAATAATTCATTATTATTATTATAAATAATAATATTTTTGTTATACTAATTTATTTAATAATTATTATTATATTTAATAAAATAAATAATAATTATGTTATATTATTTAAATAATTAAAAATAATTATTAGTTTGTTTTATTATTTTATTAATATTGTTATTATTATTTATAATAAAAATTAAACTAAAATATATTTTTATTATTAATATAATAATATTAATTATATAATTAAATTAATAATAATAATAATATAGATTATAACAAATATTATAATAAAAAACATTATTATCAATTTTATTATGAATAATAAATTATTACATTAATAATAAATTAATAATAATTTCTAATATTATAATTATTATAATCAATAATATTATTAATTTAATTTTATTATTAATATTATTAAGAAAAACATTTTTTATTATGAACTATAATAATAATATTAATAGAATAATATAATAATAAAAGATTAATGATTATTATTAAATATATTAATAATATATAAGTATTATTATATTTTATTTATTTAATAATATGTTAATAATAATATATTTTGATTTAAATAATAATAATTACTATTCATAATAAAAATAATAATAATGATATTTACTATTATTATATAAAAATATTTTTATTATTTTTTATTTACAATAATAATAATAATAATTTATTAAAAATAAAAAGTAGAAGTCGTACTGCAACCTGTACTAAAAAAATAAAAATTAACTAAGTCATCTCATTAAACACTACTTTTTTTTATTATTATTATAGAGTCTTTACTCAATTTCGTAATTTTTTTCTTTTTAAATTTATCCGTCTTGATAAACCGTAAAAAAAATTACACAGAATCGTAAAAAAAAAAAACACTAAAAGTAACCCGCTAATCTATTTAAATATTTCTATTCATAACATGCATACGAATGAAAATTTGAAACTCTTAGATGATGGTATATTTGTTTTCGTAATTGTGCTTTACAATTTTGAAAAAAACATATTTGTTTATATTAGTTTTATTATATTATTTTAACGAGTCCTCTTTCTCTCTCTTTATATATATATATATATATATATATATATATATATATATATATATAATTGTTTAAAATAAGTTAAAGTTGTTTAAAACAAATTATTTATACAAATTATAACTTATTTTAAAAAATTTGTAGGTGAAATTTATATTAAAATAATATATTTTATTAATAAGATTTTTTTCAAAACAATCTTGATTAAAAATGTTGTAATAGTGTTAATTATAAAAAATATATAAATTTAACTAAGTCAACATAATAATATAATTTTGAAAAGGAGATTTAGTTATCTTATATTATTTCGAAAGATCTTGTCTCTTGTGTGGTTTTAAATTAAGATAGATTATCTTATTTGTTATCAACCAATTATATATCGATAAATATACTCCATCAGATCAATGAAACGCAATTGATAATTTATTGAATAATTTGCTGTACATGGTATTAAAGCTGAAGTACAAATTCTACTCCACTTACCAAAATCACAAATGTTTTTGCATGATGACGGGGGTGTCTGTTAAAATTAATTTAATTAATTAATTCTATGATTTAATTTATGTTAAATATAATGAAAGGTATAGATGTGCTTTAATAAAATAGGAAGAAGTATTAATTATTATTAGAAGTTAGAATAAAATAAAATAAAAATTCACAATAATAAATTTTATAAATATTAATTAATAAAGGAGATTATAATTTTGTCTCTAAAAATAAAAGTTTTTTAACAAAAAATCATTAAAAAGTGTAAAAAGAAGAAAAATAAAATAAAAAGATAAATTAAAAAAAAAAGAGGTTAAAGAATAAAAAAATTAAATAACATATTTTTATAAATCAATATTATTCTTTTTATTATAATATATCTTATTGCGCGTAAAAATCATGAATCAAAATATAATATACACTAATTTTATAATATTCTTATTACAATATATAAAATAATTTTATAATCTTTTTATTATTATTTATATTAAATTTAAATATCAAATAAAGTAGTTTTATAGAAGGAATGAGTAAGTTAAAAAAAAACAAAACTACATAAAACATATGATAATAATTACTATTCCAGTACGATTATCTAATTTGCCCATTAAGTTTCATTTTCCACCACACAATCCATCAAACCGTTGCGACATTGGTGCAACTTATTTCTTTTCTAATCTTATTCTACACACTCAAATGGAATACCATGTACCATATTTTAGGAATCCAACTATTTACTACTTCAGAGTTCGTTGTATATATATATATATATATATATATCATTATCAGAATTCTTGTCATCTAATTTAAATCTAAAATAGAATATATAAATGATAATTTTTTCGATTATTCATTATTAATATAAAATAGAAATTATTGAATATTTTTTATGAAGGTTAAATATAAGAAGATTTTAATAAATAAAATATAAATTAATTATATAAAAGAATATAATATTATTTTTAGTTTAAAAGTTGAAGATATTAGATTATGGTTATTTTTATTTATCAACTATTCAATTTTTTTCATTTATATTTATGTAATTTTTTCATTCATGATTCTAAATAATATTTCTCTTAAATATGATTTTCTTTATTTTTTATAATAAAATAAGAAAATATAATATAAAATTTTCATTTTTTTTCTAAATTTAAAATTTATTTCACTTTTAAATTTTCAACAAAATCAATCGTGACCACAAGCCAATATCCATAATAAATTAATTAATTTTGCTTGAGTAATCTTTAACAAATACTTAAAGTCAACATTATTTTCAATTTAAACAAAAGACAAAGACTATAAATTTAAATATAAGTCATTTACGTTAATTCTAACATAAATTTAAATAAGTGTTATCTCTTTGAAACACATATAGAATCAAATAGCAAGTAGTGAGATAAAAATAGAAAATTTTAATTTATTTTTTCTTCAACAAATTCATATTGACCACATATAAAAGTATTTAAATAGTTTTATGGATAGGGAGGGGGGGGGAAGGATATTATGATATTTGTCCCCGCTATTTTAATATGTCGAGTAAAGAAAACTTCATAACCAAAATGACAAATACTCGTTTAATAAATTCATTTAATACTTATAGCAGGTGATATCCACATATATGCAGGTATGGAAATATTAGGTTGGACAAATTCACCAAATTTTTTCAAATATCTCAAAACTATCCTAAAATAATTTTTTTTTTACTGATGAAAAGAATAAAGAAAAAAAGATAAATAATAATATAAAAAAAAATAGTTGTTGGATGAATGTTGGAAAAAAGTGGGGTGGAATATAAAATAATTCTTGACCTTTTCTACATTTTTATTTTGTAGGTGTAGGTAACGGACATTTAACTTTAAATTTTTCTTGACTACCGTTTTTGCATGTGGTGCATTAGCTTTTTAGACTATAGGTACAAAAAAATTGTTAATATTGAGAAAGAAGCAAAGCAATGATTAGATGAAGCGTTAATCGCCCCTTGTATATAGTTTCACCAAACATAAACAAGCAGCACCTACCTACCCTGTCTAAG